CCCCCCCCCCGCGGTTTTGACGCGCAGCGCTTGTTGCTGATCTGAGTTAGCGCAACGCATGAGCAGGCTGTTCTCGAAAATTGCTTACGTTGTTTTTTTCGATAAATAACTATATCGATAGTTGAATACTTTGAAAGACGAGTTCATTTGCAGGTCGAAGTGCCTGTGCGCTAAGTGTAGCAATACGCCATGCTGCTTCGCTCACTGCACCGCCCACGCAAGGTTCTAAAGAAATCTGGATGTCGCGGCACATTGCAGGATTGCGGTTCTGAGTTTGATTGTGTGCCTTAAGCCAATGCACGCCAATGTGGTGCAACCAACCGGGAAAGGGAGCGAGAAAGGACGGCAGGCGGCAACCTCGGCCTTGCCTTTTGGACATCCAACGCCTATTTCGGCCTGGCCGCTGGTTTGCGTCTCTCCCCTTCGCTATCGCCCGTCGCACGCGTACAGGCTTCGAACAGCGAGATCTTCCTGACCCTGATTTTTTTTTGGGGACAAACCCGCCGAGTGACAGATTGGAGTTACGGTGTAACTGCCCGTCCGCAACTCTGTTTTGCGTAGAATATTTTGGCTGGCTCGCTTTTTGCATTGGGCTCCGGCTCGGTTCTACGCCTTGTCACTCTGGGCTGAGATCCGATCCATCGCACGGTTGCACCGCGGCACTGCAGCACCGTAGGAGCGGAGCAATCAGCAACCATTTCGCCTCGGCTCTGCTCGCTTCGACTATGCCTACCATCTGGCCCTTCTGACCCAATTTTGTTTCTCTCGCCTGTAAATCTTCGGCAGCTTGCGGAAAGCCCGGACAGCGCCTGACCCCATCTACCCGCCTCTCCTCCATCTCTCGTCGATTCATCACTGCTTACGTTCAAAGGAGACATCGCATACACGGCCCCTTCCTCCGATCCTCCGCCCCATTGTACGTCCGTCGGTGCTTCGATTCCTGGGTTGCTCTCCCTTCTCGCCGGTCTCGCTACCAACATCGACCGACCGACTCAGCGATCCGTCAATCAATCGTCTGTTCCATCCCCAGCCAACTGGATCGCTTCTTCCTCTCCACGTCCTCGCTTCTTTTCCCTCCCTCACTGCTTCCAGCACCTTTCCGGTACGACATCCCCACGCCCGCCGCACTCACTCTGCTTGGTCGAACCATCTCCAAGCCTCGACAGCGCGCTGTCAGTGGTCGCACTCGCAACCACAGAGCTACCGCCAGAATCCACTCATCTGGTCTAGGAATTGAGGTATTCCGCCCGCCTCCCTCATCTGACCCTACCTCCTTCATCTACACTTCCCGGCACTTAGACATCTACTGCATCTCTGCATCTTGCCGATCTCTGGTCGGCATCTATCAACGCAGCTAGAGAGTCCTCTAGGATCGAATCGCTCATCCGAGCTCCTCTCTCGTACCTAACGGGATCACCGCATCAACGTTAGCCATCATTTCTTGAGCAGATAGTCTCCCACATCTCTTTGGACGAACATACACGACTTCGACTAAAGAGATAACCTTTCCGCTCACAATCACCAAAAAATGTCCGCCTCAAACCCGATCCTCACCTCTGCCCACGCCTCCCTCCCTCGCCATTCCGACATGGACTACGCCTCCCGCACAAAACGATCCGACTCGGTCCACTTCGAGCATACAGGCCTGCGCGGTCCCTTTGATGCTGCATCTAGGATGCAAGACTTGGGCGACGAGTCCACTTTTATCCCCACTTCGCTCGGCGAGCATCTTCTCGAGCGCACCTATCTCGAAGATGTTGTGCGTCCTCTTGTCCGTGCTCTCGTAAAAGCGAGAATGACCTACGGCATCAACGGCGAGGCTACCACCGAAACTTCGCACGCCTATGTCGATTTGGAAAAGCTTCGACGCGAACTCGAACGAGCCACGCAGCGTGCTCGTCATGCCGAGCAGCAGAGGGATGATCTCGCCCGTCGTCTCGACCTTGCAGGTATTCCTGACGACCCGCGCGAACGAGTGGATCGTCATTCGGATCATATGGGTCCGAGCGAGTTCAACTCGAGTGCCGCGAGAAGCCATGGAGTGCCGTTCAAACGACCTCGTCCCAGCGACTATGAACAACGCGCTTCTGCGTCTGCGTCTGCATCTGCAGCCATCTCGGTCAGCGTCGGTCAAAGTGACGGACCTTCCGCTTCCGTCATTGTTAACAGCGAAGGTCCTCACGGCGTTCCCATGACCCAGGTATCGAGACCACCTCACCCTACGCTCACCTCTGAACCGATGTCTCCGCCTCCTTCCATGTCCTACAACCATCTCGGCGCTCCTCGACACGGCCGGCCGTTCGTCGACGGACACCACAATCCACACGAACCCGATCAACGTCCACTCACCCGCATGCCTCTCACAACTTCAGCCCTCGAATCCGACTACGCCTACCCGGACGAGCGACCGACCGAACGATACGCCATGACACCGTCCAATCAACCAGCTCCTCATCGTCCTCCTCTCTCGCGGTTCAGCGGCATGAGCAGTGCTCGATCACCGCCCAGCAGCAGCGCCTACCTCACTTCCGGGAGCGAACGATCTTCCATGCCTACACTTCACACGTACCCATCCACATCCTCCACCAGCTCTTTCGGTGCCGGTCACTATTCTGGCGGCGGTAGTGCTGGCAACATGCACCCTTACGACCACGAAGGCGATGATCAACGCAGAATGGCTCGATTGCGACCTGGTGGGCATGAATCCGTCGATCATCTTTCGGTACCCGGACGACCCGCTTCAGCAAACTACGTAATGACACCAACCTCTGAGACTAGCTATCCAGTACGAAAACTGGCTTCGACCAAGAACCGCACTTGCTCCAACTGCGCTGCACCTCACGATGCAAAGTTCCGACGTGGTCCCAAGGGTCCTGGCACACTGTGTGATAGATGTGGATCCAGGTGGAAAAAGTTCAAGGAGCAGGAAAACGCAAGTAGTCGTAGGGACAGTCATCCGCACCAGGTCAACGAGACGGGAAATTCGGCCATGGCATCGGCATCGGCATCGGCATCGGCGAATGCAAGGTTGAGCTCGACAAGCGCAAGCTCTCAGTCACCCGTGGAAAGGGCGGCTGAGGACGGCACCGGTCGAGGACCAGGAATAGCAGAAGGGGGAGCAGGAGGAGAGGAGGTTGATACCGTAGAGGTTGAGGGTGCGCAGAGGGACAGAGAGAGGAGTGCAAGCGTCGATCAGTTGGTGGACGAATGAAAAGCCTACGAGAGGAAGACGCTCAAAGAGCAAAGTGTAGAGGACAAGAACGAAAAGCCAAGAGAAACGATCGTCAAAGTAGATTGAGATCGCTGCCCCGAATGTAGCAAGAACATCACATAAGAACAGTTTAATACAGTATCCGCACAAGAGATCCCTTCGATCAGAGTTGATGACGATCGCGTCTGGGTTTTGCAGAACGAGAGACTTCAAGCCGTGCGGTTGATTATTGAGGTGCAGTGGGAGAGGATTCTATCGGTGTTTGTGGTGGATCTATGGATGATCGGGTGGCGGGAATGAGGGAGGTATGGGACGTGGGAGTGGGAGCGGTGTCGGTTGGATCGGTTTTGGGAGCTTGAGATGGGACGGATGAGTCTGGGTTCAGCGTGGGGGTGACACGGCAGGCGGCGAGGGCAGCGTAGTATCCGGCGTACCAGTAGTGGTGAAGTTTCATGTCGAGATCTGCATGCCCGTTGGCTGGGGTGTCCGACTGGACAGTGTGATGGTTCGAGCTAGCTGCCCTGTTGTTCAAGGAGATGCTCTCAGCAGCGACTGTTTGGGGAGGAGCTGCATGGACGCTGTGCTTACTAGTTTGATCGTTGGTCCCTGTCGGTTGGACTGCGGGCCAGATCCAGCCTACACGGTTCGGCGTAGTCTCCACTGTCTTGATCGCTTTTTTCCAAGCCGCGTTTCCCTCCATGTCCGCTGCAGAAACCGCGGTGACGATCGGTTTCCCCCTCGCTTTCGCCTGCTGTTGTTGCGACTTCCCGCCACCACCACCGCCGCCGCTGCTGACACCTGACCCAGTAACACCAACCGCAGTGCCGCGTTGAGCCAGCACCTGCTGCGTATCTTCCCTCACCTGCTGTGCTAGCAGAGAATCGTGTTTCGGTGCATCGTTCCACAGCGCGGATTCGCTAGAGCCCGTAAAGCGGGGGAGCGGAAGCGCGTGCAGTGTGCAGTACTGCGAGAGCGCCGAGTTGAACGTCTGGACGAGGGAGAGCGGGGAGTAGAGCTCGAGGTGGGTGAGCGTTCGACCTCCGCCGCCGACGGCGTGGGGCGGTCGATGTGGGGTTGAGGAGGGAGTGGTGGAGGAAGCGAGGGGAGATGGGTGTGGGTCGTGCTGCCGGTGGTATTCGGACACGTCGGGTATGACGAAGGGTAGGGCGGGGGTGTTGGAGGAGGAAGAGTGGTCGGAGTCGTACTCGTCATCGTAGTCGAATTCGTCATCGTCGTCGTAGGCTTCTTCGGGTAATGTTTGTGTGCCGTCGTACGGCTCACCCCATTCGTCGTACTTCCATCCTGTATACACCCCATCTCCACCACCCACGCCCTCCACATCATCACTTTCACCTCTCACTCCATCGTCTCTGTCATCCACATCTTCTCCCACAGACCCTCTCTCCTCTTCATCCACCTCCTCCACTTCCCCAAGATCACGATACCCTCCCCGCAACCCACCTTCCCTTTCCATCTGGCCTGCGTAGGCTGGATCGTCCCAATGCACCCCATTTGCCCTCGTCTTCTTCTTCCCCTGACTGCCGTTCGATCCGAGCTTCCTCTTCTTCGCGCGACCACCCCCAGCGCCGGCGTTGGAGTAACTCGACGGTCCCGCTTCCGTCCCGCTCGGCTGTTGTGCTTCCGCACCATCTTCCGTCAGATCGCTGTACGAAACAAGTCTTCTCGACATGCTGGCCCTACGCTCCTTGTCGCTATCGACCAATCGAAAGAAGTAGAGGTCGGAAGGGTGAAGGTGCAAGGTTTGCACAAACCCACCCGTCCAAAAAAAAGAACAAAGTGTGGAGTGTTGCAACACCAACCCGCTCCGAGTTCCGCGCTTCCCGAAAACTGGACCTTGAACACCACACTCGTTCGCACCAACCCCCCTCGCACACCCTCGTCTTCACGCCAAGTCCCACACCTCAACTAGTATCGTGAAACATATTGCTAATGATGGTATAATGACAATTAGACATGTTCAGGACCACCACCCTCCGTCGTCCACCTCGACCTCCCTCTTCGCACCATTACTACCTCCCGCCGTCGACGCGAACGATACGGACCTGATCGATCGATTCGCATCTCCGTTCTGCTGGGCGTGCGGAGAATGCATCGAGCCCCAAGCGACTCCGTTCGAGACCGTCTCCCACCCCTCGTTCGTCTGCAGTGACGTGTACCCGACCCGAAGTTTGGCTTCCAGCTCCTCGACTAGCTTCTGACTTTCCTTCAACTGCAACTTCACCTCCTCGTGCGCCGAACGCTCGACAAACTCTTCCTTCATCTTGGCCAGATCTCGCTCCATCTGGTTGACCCGCTCCTCGTACTCCCCGACCTGCTGCGTGGCGCGCCTCTCCCTCCCCACGCTCTGCTGCAGCTCACGTCGCGTCTCCTCCAACTCCTCCGCCCTCTCTTCAAACACCTTCAGACGCGCTGTCGTCTCCGCCAACTGCTCCGTCTTGCCCTCCAGCTCCTTGACCCGCTTCTCTCCCTCTGCGAGCTTCTGGTGGCTCTGAGCCGCCTTCTGCTTCTGCGTCGCAGAGAGCTGCTGCAGGTTGGCGATCTTGTTGTCTTGTTCCGAGATGCGCTTTTCCAGCGCAGCGACTTGACCTTCTGCTTTCGAGGCTCGTTCTAGCACCGATTTGGCGGTATCGTACGCTTCGCGCTCGGCGACGTTCGCTTGCTCGAGCAGACGATTCATGCGATGTTGCGTCTCGACGTGCGCAGCCTCGGCTCGATCCGCCCGAGCTACTGCTTCTGCGACAGCCTTGGCCGATGCTTCCCGCTCCTTGCCGTTCTCCGCCTTGGTTGCAGCAAGCTCAGCTGTCATCTGCGCGAGCTGCTCGCGGAGCATGGTAGCTTCCTTTTGCGAGACTGACAACCTGGCAACAGCTTCAGCTTGACCGGCCTCGGCCCGTGCCGCACGTGCTTCGGCCTCCCTCAGCTCCTTCGCCAGGTCAGCGCTATCCTTTGCCTGCCTCTCCGACCTGGCCAGGAGCTCTCGATGTGACTGTTCGCTTGAATCCTGCTGAGCTTCCAGGCGAGACAGTGCCTCATATGAAGAGTCGAGCACCTGATAGACACCTGCCAGCTCCGAGAGCGTCCTCTCGGCGGTCTCCCTTGTCAACAGCTTGTCCTCTGTCAAGTCCTCGAGCTTTCTGTGCAGAGCCTCTATATCGATCGCTGTAGGGTTCGACGAAGCTGTCGACCTGCTCCTGAGCTCCGCCTTGATCTCTGCGATCTTCTCGAGGATGAGCCCTTGCCTTTCGCTCGTGTCGTGCGCGCTGGACAGAAAGATCTCGGTCTTCGCATTGATGGCGTACGGCAACTCCGATAACGTGCGTTCGGTGTCTTCCTGCCTCTCCAGAATCTTCTTGCTGAAAGATCGAGCCTCCTCATGCTTGACGATGAGCGGCTCGAGAAGTGCAAGTACGGGAGTGAGGTCCACCAGGTGCTCGATCGATTGCTTGCCGATCACCTCGGCCAGTCTACCGACGAGTGCATCCGAGTCGACTGGATCGCTCTTGAGGCTTCTAACCAGTGGCTCGACCAGCTCGACTGTCGACTGGGCGATCTTGTATGAGCTCGGCAAGGCCTCCAGCAGAAGGTCTCGACTACGTTGATTCTCCTCGAGCAAGCACCTTCGCTCCTCTGACAACACTGGACCGAAGGCAGCTCCGAGCTGAAGCGTGAGTCTGTCCGCCAGCGCTGTGTCACTTGATACTTTGTCTTGCAGCAGTGGAGGCAGGTACTCTATGAGCGCAGACCGAAGGTGTTCTTCGACAGAACCACCAATCTTGCTGATGGACTGCTCGAGCGTGTGCATCTCCGACTCGAGCATCTGCTGAATGTTCGAACGGCCAGTGGCGCCTTGCTCGGAAAGAAGGAAAAGATTCTCGTCCAACTTGGACTGCATGGCTTTTTGCAGCTCGGCGCCGGATGACGACTGGACCTCTTCACTTGCCGTTGCCTGCTGCCGAAGCAGTGCCTCCAGCTGGGACATCAGACGTGACGTGATGACCTCAGCCAGCTCGGACGGCAGGACGAGGCTGTTGCTGCCCTCACCCGTTCCATCGTCGTGCTTGATGCGGGGAGTGGATTCGTCGGACCTCTCGAGCTTCTCCACGACCTCCGTCAGGCTCGACTCGATATTGGTGCGGAACTCCTTCAATTTGACCTCGAGGATCTCTTGCACATAGTCAAAGTCCAGTTCGCCCGGCGTATCGACCATGACCGAGCTGGTCATCTTGACATCGGTCGACGACGGTTTCTTGCGGATAGGTCGGATCGTGCTGTGCGTCTCGTCCGACGCATCCGTCAGCTTTCGTGCATGTGTAGCGAAGAAATTGGGAGTCAGCCGACTGTCGAGCACTTGTTCCAGACGACTCGTCATCTCTTGGACGATGGTGTCCTGGGCAACGACGATGTCGGACAAACCGGCGGGATTGCGCGGATGGGGTCGCACTTGGCCCATGATAGTCACCTCATCGAGAATCTTTCCAGCCCATCCTTCCAGCGCCTTATCCAAACGCTCCACAATCTCCTCGACAACGTCTGTGAGACTCTCTTCCTCTTCTTCGCGATCGTAGTCGTCGCTGTCTCTTTCGGCCTTGGATCCATTTCGATCGCGGTATTTCCTTCCAAATCTCCAATCCATGGAGGAGATGCTGCCTCTTGAAAAGGTGCCATGTCCGTCTCGTCGACCCGATGGACCTGCGCCTGTATCTGAAGCAAGCGAAACGGAGAGAGATGCATGCCTGTCAGGCCCAGGAGGAATCTGCACAGGCTGCGCCCGCTCGCTGTGGCGATCAGCTGCAGGTTGTTGCCCAGCACCAGAAGCCCGAAGAGCCCCATTCGAGGGATGACCGGCACTAAGAGCCGCAACAGCTGATGATACGACAGCGCTACCATCGAACGGTCCAGTCGAGGGATGAGAGGATGATCTGTCTCCTTCTTGGCTGATGTCTGAGGGGCGCTTGATGGGGATTGCCTTACTTCCAGTGTTCAACGCAAAGAAGGCCGGATCCAGGATGGAAGGCAAGGCTTTGGTCTCGACATCCTTGTCCGCTATTTGATTCCAGTCGGGCAAGGATGGACGCTTGAAGCTGGTCGACCCACCGAAAGGCGGAGCGCCTTTGGCCCACGTCGGCACGAACGAAGGTGCGTCAGCGGTCAATCGCGCTTCGTGCGAGACGGAACGCTGCTGTTGCAGGTAGCCCGCAGGTAGGAATGGTGGCGGACCTTTTCTGGCCAAGGAGCTGAAGCTGCGAAGGGGACCCTCGATACTTGCCGCTGATGCTTTTGGTCGGGGAGGACTGGTGCTATACACAGGATACCGCTCATCTTGACTGTCGTAGTCGATGGGTCCATAGCGAAGGCGCTTCTCTCTGCCTTGCAACTCTCGATTCTCGACCTGTCTATCGTCGACATCGTCGCCAGCATCGGACGCAGCGATGCATGACGACGCCGTGAGCGGGAGTTCCGGTACTTGCAGCCGCTTGACAGACTTGAATGTGAAGGCACCAGGAGTGAATGGAGCCGCGCCGACATTGAGGTGCGCCGCATTGGCCGGAAGATCTCCGAGATCGGAGCCGAAGCTCGAGGTCTTGATGCTTGGTAGGCGGAAATGTCCGGACGCCACATGCGAACTGTTGTGTTCGCCCGACACAGGTGCCGAAACCGATCGCGGAGTGGCACCTGCTCCGCCGAATTTGAACTCTTTGGCATCAGGATTCAGAAGCGAGAGACCCGAAGCTCGACCGAGTGTGCCGGACATCGGAGGGTGGTTGACTGCTGGAGTGTAACTAGCACGCGTTTGAGAAGGGCTGACAGCTAGAGACGGTTTGGAAGGAGGAAAGCGAAAGTCTCGACTGAAACGGGGCCCTGGACCAGCAGTGGTGGGCGGTCCATCGTGACCGAATGTCTGCGAGTCATCGATATCAGACAGAACTTCATCAGAGGGATTGCTGATGACGTCGTCGTGCTCGAAGTGCGCGTAGCGTCCCGTCTTGTGTAGTTCCGCCTCGCCAATGCTGCTGCTAGGCAGAGTGTTGTCGGTGTTGGCACGACCACGTCGACGTTGTTGACGTTCTCGACGAGCCGCTCGCTCGGCGGCACGGTGCTGTCGACGCAACATTCGCTCCTCTCTGGCATCTTCCTCGTCGGAAGGATTGCTAAATTGCTCGTCGGAAGGCGTGAGAGAATCCTGGAGGCTGTCGTCGTCGCTGGCTTGTGACATGTCCTCATCGCCATAGCGGCGGCGAGACTCGCCGAACGCTGACAGCGGGACACTACCTCGGCGTGCACGCCAGTGATCAGGACCGTACTCGTCAGGCTCTTCTTCAAAGTCGGAAGCGTCGGCATCCTCGCTTGGGTTGGTCCGTACTTCAGCCTCCTCACCCTCGAGATCAAGATGGTCATTTTCATCGTCATCGTTACGCGAGGTGCTGACTGAGAACTTCGAAGTGTTTCTGGCATGCATGCGGAAAGATGCACGATGCGCTGGGTTGTGCGCATCAGGCTCGTAGCCAAAGCCTCTTCCAAGATCCTTCCAGCTTCCAGCCCGTGCGTGTCGTTCTGCTGCGAGCTCAGACTCAGACTCGTCTTCTGCATCTTCCTCGGTAATGTTTGTCAAGAAAATGTCACCACGGACACCGAATGCTTCAGGGTCGGAAAGAGGCTTGTCCGGCAAATCTTGAGCTTCAGAAGGCGGCTTGGAAGGACCCTCGTCAGAATTGGCACGAATCATATCGAGCGCGCTGAACACATCAGGGCCGAAAGGCCCGCCAGAGCTCGGTAGGCCAAGCGACATGGTATGCGTGTGGAGGTGCTTGAGTGCGGGACGAACTTCGAGATTGGTGCTCTCGCCACGGCGGCGCGCAAAAGCCTCACGCAGTCTCGTGGGCAGTTCCTGCGGGAAGCGACCCCATGCTTTGGCAGCATCGTCGGCCCCAGGGACTGCTTCACGGTCGGGGAGCTGATCGACATCCTCTTGTGCTTGCTGCTGGGACTGCAAGAAGCGGTTGAGCTTGAAAGCGACCATGCTCGGATCTGCGGGCGTTGAGATGGATAAGCTGCGACCCAGATGCTCTGGCTTAACTGCAGCTGTGTCCGGAGGCAGTGGGAGGCCGCTGGGGTCGAAAGGTGAATAGAGAGTGTTTTCGCCCCGGTCAGCCTCCATCTGCTGTTCCTCGTACCGCATTTCAAGATATTCGTCCCAAGCACTCATGCCGGGAAGATAGATATCGATGGTGTCTGGCAGGCCCAACCAATACGGCCAGGGCTCAGGATGAATGTCGCGTGTAGACGTGGCATCTTTTGGCATATCGATGCATGGAACACGGTCGTACTGGTCCGGGCTCCATGGAAGTCGCTGTCTCCATTTGCTGCGCGTCATAGCCGAAGCACGGGCATTGCTGCACATACCATCTATTGCGTTTTTGGAAGGAATGTCCGTCGGCTGATCAAGCAGTGAATCATCGTCCGACAAAGGTACTTCGGCTGGCAAGCACACGACGATTTTCTTCTTGGTCTTGAGAGCAGCGAGATTGGCGGCAAAGGCAGCGGGATTCATCGAGATGGATGGAGTAGAGTTGTGACCGGTGGTCTTGAGGGGCGTGATGCGAGGAAGTCCCTTGGCTTTCCTGTTTTGAAAGTTGTTGCTGCTACTGTTCATGGGCGGTGCTGACCGAGGCAGTCCGAGGTGAGGCTGGCCTGTCGGCACGAAAAACGGACTGACGGAACCAGACAGAGCCGGCGATATCGGCGACGGTGGCCCCGTATAAGCAGGAGAATAGGGAGAGTGAGACATATGGTTGAAGATGGGAGGTGTTGCCAAGAAAGCAGGCAGACCAGTGAGCTGGACACTGCCTGGGTTGATAGCGTGAGTGAGGCCATGTTGCGGAGGACGAGCGGGGCTTGCGATCGGCAGTGGTTCCTGGAATTGCGACGTCGGCGTCTGTGGCTCCAAAATCTGCGGCTTGCTTGCCGCACCCGGGACGAATGGACGAGAGTTGGGATTCATATACGAAACGCCTCCGGATTCGTCTCGGCCTGATGCCATCTGATTGTGTATTTGTGATAGCTGTGATGGTTGCAAGTTTAGATGGCAATGTCAGCGGCGAGTGATAGACATAAAGCCTCTTGAAGCGGACCAACTTACCAAAGTAGGGCGACTCGGCGGTTCAGAAGTTTCCGACGAGTATGACAGTGGCTGCATTGACACAGGCTGACGAGGTGCTGGTACGAAGCTGGCTGCTGCGCCGCTTGGTCGAAAGACGGGTGCAGCTACATTGAGGGTGCTGCCGTCCATCTTGGCATGCTGATTTGGGGATCAGATGCCACACCTTGATTGATGCGAGTGCGCGGTCACCTTTGATGAGAAAGGAGCACGCCTTGAGAGGCTTCGTTAGACAGTGAGAGGGTATCCGCCTGGGTAGTGGGCCATCCGATTCCGAGAAAGAGAAGCTGAGTCGGACCCGGAGAATCGTGGACGCAGCCAGAGGAATGTCAAATAGGCTCTTTGGAAGGTTCCCTCGGATGTCCAGAGGGTAGACGATGATGATAGGCGTGACGTCGAACAAGCCTCCCTCTGCGACTGTAGCGGGTCGGGTCAAGGATGGTGGTTGTGCAAGTTGCCTGAAATTGCGTGTGGGTTGCCGTGTCTCTGGATCTGTTGCGGACTTTACCTCGAGGTGGACTGTGCAACCCTTGCCAATAGAGTGGGTTTCAAAGCCATCAGCTCAGGACGAGCATGTGTTGCATGCGTGCGTCCCTTAGCAAGGCAAAAGCAAGGCTTCCCAATCAGCCGCAGACTCCTCACACTGTTCCTTCCGCACAAGCACACACAAAGGGCTCGGCTAGGAAAAAGTGAGCTTAAACCACATACCAGAGCATCTTCTGAGCCATTCTTGCTTAAAGTAACACACACACACGCACGCCGCTCCTTGTTCGCGATGAGGCGTGCGACAGCCGCAGCCTGTGCAGCCAACGACGTGGAATTTCTGACTCCGCTGCTTTGCTGAAATCACATTTCGGCTGAGCGGAACAGTTGTCCCTGCACTCTTACCCACCTTTGCTTGTCTTCACCAAGTACTCCACATCTTGCATCCGAACAGGCATACTGTAAGGAGGAGTCCGCCAGTGGGCTGACCATCATTCGTTGAAGGTCGGGAGAAGGAGGTCGGCTCGGAACGACCAACTTGTGGAAAGCACTCTGGAAAAAGAAGAAAGAAAGGATCGGCAGGGTGCATGTTTCAGATTTCCACACGCGCCTCGCCAAGGAGAGCAACACTTTGTTTTTGGCTACCAAGTGATTTCTGCGTCTACACAGACTTAACAACTATTTTAAGTTTTGCGGCATGCTGGTTGGAAGGGAGAGAGTGTGTGTGGAGGAATCGGCGCCTTTCCGAAACCCGCGCCTGGCACTCGCATCCTTCCCATTCCTCTACCTTGATCTTCCTTGGCCTCAGCTTGCTAGTCGGATCGCCATCTCCGGCACTACAGTGCAGAGGAGAAGTTTCAGCATGACGAAGCTCGTGCTATCCGTGATCAATTCGGAAATGCTTCGACAGCTGGCGCGCAGCATCGATTCGGACCACGATGCGGTGCAGTCACTCAAAGCGGCGCTGTTGGATCAACCGGAGCAGCCAAAGATGACGACGGAAAGCCCGGCCGTTCCAACCAACGCAACTGCATCCACCACATCGGCCGAGCCGGTAGTGTTGGAGCATCTTGTGCTGATCGGTATCGCATCGTGGGCACGGACCGAGGTTGCATCGCAGAGGTCAAGTGTGGATCTTACTCAGCTGAAGGTCGCCTCGCTCGTCACGGGTGCGCACGTCTACGTGCCACCAAAGCCCGTCTTCAAAAGATCCCAACAACTGGAAGACTCGCTAGCAGCTATACGGAAAGCACAAGAACTCGCAGAGTACCAACGAATGTCCTCCACCACCACAACCTCATCCTCTCGCGCCTACAACATCCCCTCTGCCTACGTAAACATCGCCGGCGTAGATCCAACTCTCTCTCTCAGTCAACGCATCACTTCTTCACACACAACCTCGCCTCACCTTTCGTCCAGCAACGTGTCGCGTCAGGAAGAGGAACAGGCGTGGAAAGATGCCCAGCGTCAGCTGAGCGTCATCCTCAACATCTTCTTGTCGGCTTTGGCAACGGCAACCGCAGCTTGGTGGGCAAGCGGAAATGCGAGTGTCGGCAACAAGGTGCTAACCAGCATGCTGGTAGGGGTTGTGACGGCGGTAGCGGAGATAGTGCTGTACAGTAGGTATAGTGTGTATGTCAGCGAGAGCAGGAAGATCAAGACGAGCAGGATGAAAGGGTCGGATGTTAAGGCCGGGATCGAAGGCTTCAGACCGCTGCAGCTGGATAGAGTCGGGAACACGCCCAAGGCGAGCACACGCTTGAAACCGTCGGCAAAGGAAGAGCCCTCATGACAGCTTCACATACCGTTCTCAGATTATGAAGAAGGAGAATCTAATGTCAATGCCAACTCTTTTCGTGACACTGTTTCGTACTCGCTACATTCGGAGCACCCCGTGCGGCATCACTTGTCCTTGGGACAATACTGCACAACCGCCCATTTGCCATCCACCCTCCACTTTGGATCCTCTGCCACCACCTTCTCTTCCTGACCGGGCTTGAGACCGACGCACACATCCGCCTTGTTCGTTCGCAGCGCCAGGATGTCGATCGTCCCAGCGAGCGGTCCCAGAGCCTCGCGGAAGCTCGTATCCGACTTCCACGTGGCATCCGACGTCAACTTGCGGTAGTTGAGGTCGCCCTTGAAGATGACCAAATCGCTCTTGGTGGCGAGCTCCTGGTGCAGTTCCGGAGAGTAGTGCGCCATGTTGGCGTACGACACGGGTTGCGTCCAGAACCCGTTGGCCGAGCCAGTGTCAGCGCCCAGTGGCGTGTCGAGAGGAACGGAAAGCTTGAATCGACCATCTTCCATGTACTTCATCCACCTGCGCACCATGGCTTGCACGGGAGTCTGCGACGAAGGCGTTTCGTCCTTGACCGTGGTGGATCGACCGCGACCGTGTCGTTCGTCCTCCTCGTCGTGGATGGAAAGCGATGAGAAGCGAGCGCTGTCCATGACGTACGAGCGCGAAGGGGAGATGGTCTGAGAGCGCGCGTTCTTGAAGTACGCGGGATCCATCTGGAAGCTGCGGCTGCCGGCAGGAGCACGTCCGCGTCCCGTCGAGTCGACGCTGCCGTCTCGCGCTTGCAGATGCAGACTTCCCGGGGGATGCGGAGAGCGACCGCGTTCGCTGCTATCAGCCATCTGCAGCGAGCGCGATCCGGCTGGCTGCGCACCCTGCTCACCAGATGAAGCATTGTAGGAGTACTTGCTAGGGTCAGCCTGCAAGTCGCGGCTGCGACTCACGCTACGGTGACGGTCCTGACTGGCATCGTCCTGGCGCGCAAAGAAGCTCGGCTCGAGCAGCGACTCGATCGTGTGTCGGAAATCAGGCGGCGTGACATCCGAGACGAACCAGGGCATGTTCTTGGGGTGGAAGACCACCTGGCCGACATGAGGCGTGGTCAGCAGCCAGTCGGCAAAGATCATGTCCGTCACCAGCTCGAAGCCGGCATTGTCGAGCACAATGTCGATGCGTCCGTTGGTGTGCGACGAGATCTTGCTCCAAGCCTGGTCAAGGTCATTGGCTAGGATGAACTTGCTGCGCGCCTGTTGCTGCTCCTTGCCAGTGGTCTGCAGAGCTTGCAGATCGGCGTACGAAAGATTGGTGAGCAGACTGAGGTCGGTTGCGTTTCCCCAGAGCGACATCTGCGCCATCTCGTGGAAGAGAATCTCGCGTCCTTCAGGGGTCGATTCGGGACCCTGTTCGGAAGAGAGCGACTTGGTCACGAGATCTTGGATGGTGACAGCGAGCGCGCTGATGGCGGTGCCGGAGCTCTTGAACGTATCGAGCTTCGTCCTAGAGAAAGGGTCGTACTGCTTCCAATGCTGGCTGCGCGCAAAGAAACTCCTGAGCAGGCGGTAGAGATAGCATTCGGCGAAAAGCCAAGGCGCCTGGAACCAGGTCCAGTTTTCCTTTTCGATGGTGGCATCGTACAGCTCGGTCGAAGGCCCGTCGTCGGCGTCCTTGCCTGGGACAACACGAATGGGTTCGAGAGGGCGGTCTCTGCTCATGTCATGCTTGAGAGCGGCCACCTTTTCGATGATTTGCTTGCCTTCTTCGATCTTGGCCGACTGGTTGGTCCGCGAGTAGGAGAGCGCATGGTTGGCGCTGTAGATGCCGTCAATGACCTGAGTTAGGATGGCGGGCCAGCGGTGGACGGTCGACTCGTAGGCAAAGCTCGACTTGTCCTTGGCAGACGATGGCGCGACAGGCGGAGACCAAACCATCCTGGAAAGGCGAGGTTGAGGAAACGGTGAGTGAAAGGAGTTGATCGATGCAATACCAGAGTGGTCACGGCGAAGATGGTGGTGGCGATGAAGGATGCGAAATCAAACACGAATGGTTGGACCGATGGAAGTCAAAGGCAGCGTCACGGGAACGGCTGCAGGATTGTGCGTCTGTGATGCAGCTGGCTGAGCGGGGAAGAGTAGCCAGAGAGAGCGAAAGGAAGAGAAGAGAACGCGAAGAAAAGGGGCTCAACAGAAGAACAAGAATACTGTAACGTGCAGGTGGCGCGTGCAGGGTCACATGTTGCTCGGTCTGAAACAGCCAAAGACTCGACGCACTGACGCCTCTCCCTCTCCCTTTCCTCTTGCTGAGCGAACACTCTCCCTCGTCTGCGCTCGGTGTTCTCCGGCAGCCGCTCAGAGACCAGCAGCAATCTGTCTTGGGACACTGCCTCCCGTTCTTGTCCATTCGCAGCATTTTCTTGGCCTGAATTTCGTCGCCTCCATTTTATCAACTTTGCCGCTGTTCAAATTGGAAAATGTTATCGTCTACCTCCTGTAGACACAAGTCCTCATTCAAGTCCGAGAGAACTGCTCGACTGACAAAGCGTCTTCTAGTCTCGCTGACACACAGTCTGGGCACAAAAGGGTCGAAAAGGATTCGGAATCGTATCGCCCTATTGGGTACAGAACACATCGCACGCAAATACAGAGTTGCGAATAGAGCCGGGAGTGAGAGAATACCTACAAGGAGAAGGAATGGTGGGTCGTGCGGTCGGTGCGGTGCCGATAATTGTGACGATGGCGGCAAAAGTGACCACGAACTGATCCTAGCAATTTCATAGATGACAACAGACGCTGAATCAGCCCATACCCGCACCGCTCGGATGGCCCAGATGGCACATCCAGATCCGCGTCTTGTATAGACGGAAGAGCTCCTTGACCAGATCCCGAAAGTCGACGCGCATCGTCGCCGTATAATAAAACGTGAGCTTGCGCCTGTCCCACTGCATCTCGGCCGCCACCACGCTCATCGGCAGCCCTCGCTGCATCACCTTGGAGATGCAAAGCTGCAGAGCGCGTTCTTCGTCCTGCGCCTTCGAGTATAGCGTGCTCGTGTCCGCCGCAGTGGCTTTCGTGAAGAGTCGCTTTGGATTGATGGTGCGCATCGGTCGAACAGCGCTCGCATTCGCGCCTCCAGATGCGGCCGTCGCGCCCATCGTTGAAGAGGGCGAGCCGCTTCGAGCCGAAGCGTTGGAGGACGTCTCGTCGCTGCTTCCCGTGCTAGCACCAGCGCCGGCTCCACCCATCCGATCAGCAGCTCCCATCACCGCCGCACCAATCGTCAGATCCGATTGGTGCGCCAAGAAGGCTTGCACCTGTTCCACCGTGATGCTGTCGTTCACCACCGTGCCGAGATCCTTGCCTCGGTCGGCCTCCACGATCACCAGATCGCCGCGTCGGATAGGTTCGCCATCACGGTTCGAGGGCGACTGCGAGGGCGATCTCGAGCGAAAGAAAAGGTCTGTGCGCCCTTGCTTGAATTCGACAATATAGAGCGGCGTCTCCTTTGCCAGGCTCGTGAGCGGAACCCCCTTGCCGAGATCCTGCATCTCTCCTGTCGTGCCTGCGCTGGACAGCGGTCCGCTCGCTGCTCCGCCTCCCATCATACCGACAGGTGGTCCCATCGACGACGGCGGCATTGGTCCGAGCGCTGCCAGGCTAAGAAAAGTGACATCGTTCGTCGGACTCGGCAAGGACAGCGCGAGAGCACCGAGACCGAAACTCGTGGCCGACGGGGTGGGGTTGAAGCTCAGATGCTGTTGCTGCGACGGCGGGAAGAACGCGGGAGTCGCCGCCATCTGTGGCACAATGCGACCAGGGAAGCCAGGGACGGGCATGTCACCCGGACCAGCATAGGCGTGTTCATCGACTCCGCCAACGACATTGTGTTGCATCGAAGCGAACGGCTGCGAAGCTGTGAACGACTTTGCCTGCGCTGAAAGACCCCGACCTGTGCCAGCAGCGCTGCCAGCCGGGTCGCCTCGGACGTCGGTGGGCGACGTTCCGGGACTCGCACGCACAGTGCGAGTGCCTTCCGCTTGTCCGTCAAAGATGGAAGCGACGCCAGCGGCGCGTGCTTGTGCATGTGCTCGCAGGTCGCCTTCACCGATCGACATCTGTCGCAGCTGCCTCGTCATTTCAGCCAGTGTACGCTGACCTTCGCCGGGTGAGCGTGCCGTCATGTGTGAAGTTGCCATCAAATCCCAGCTTGCAGACAGACTGTCCCTTCCGCTGCGACCGTCACGGGTTTGCGCCATGTCGGCCAAGCCGATCGATCTCGTGTCAAAGCTGCCAAAACCACGACGGCTGGCAATGGCTTCCGATGGCATCGACGTGCCATAAGACCCATCGACTCCTCTGCCGCCCAAAGTGTCCGAATGACGGGTGTGAGTTGGCGATGCCGGCTCGGGATCAACCTCATCGGCTAGATCGTCCATGGACAACGCCAGACTGCTTCCCGAGAGAGGGTTGAAGCCGGGGAGGGGGAGCACGCTGCTGACACTGCGATCCCTGCCGTGGCTGAGACCACGAGGCCACGCCCCTTGTTGCGACATGGAGTGTGCTGCTCCCTGGCCTCGGCCGTTGTCCAACCGAGAATACCTTCCGTCTACGTCGAAACCGATGGCGCGTCGATGCCCTCCAATGACGCCTGCAGCTTCGCGATTTGGGCCCATGTCGGCAACTGAGTGACGGCGCGACTCGGTCCCAGCGGCAGGACGCTGAAGCTGGTCGCCTGCGGGAACGGCCGTAATCTCGGGATAGCTCGAGAGCTCCGGAAGATCAGAAGTAGCGCCGAATGGGGACGACGTGGTGTGAAAGCCGGTACGAGAGGTACGCAGCGCCGAATCGGAAAAGTCGAAGCCGAGGTCGTGGAAGCCGGCGGGTGAGCTCAAAAACGACGAAGGCGAAGCGGGCTCTTGCTTGTTGCGGACGAATGAGGCGGAAAACCCACGTTGGAGGGAGGCAAGCGGTCTCTGTGGAACGCCGCCGCTCGCGCCAGCGTTGTTGGCTAGAGCCTCGGTCGACGAGCCTTCCCAGATCGTTCTAGACGGGATGGCCGAAGCTGGTGCAATGCGACCTGAGGCGTTGCTTGCCCAACGGTCAACGAAGGGGCCACCACTGCCGTGCAGGGTGAGAGCTGCGGCGCTGGAGGCCGATCGATGGCGCGACGCAGGCATGCTCTGCTCCATGTGGGAATACGTCTGATTTGCATCAAAGCCCATCGTCGACCCGCGTCGACTGCCTGATGAGGCGAAGCCTTCTTCCTGCATCGTCGCCAGCATGCCGCCTGATCTAGAAGCGAGCGAAGAGCGTGCCTCCTGAGCGCTGTCGAGTGGATGAGGAGATCGAGCAACCCCGGCGCGAGCCAGGGAAGCCTGCTGCTCGTGGCGCGTGTGAGCGCTGTTCGCAGACAGGTCGAGTTTTAAGCCGGACGGTGGCAGCGACGCGCCATCTACCGATGTGGCAGGCGATGTGCCGTGCCTGGCATCGTCCTCGTTGGGCGAGGCTGGATGAGAATGGTTGGAAGGGCTGGGCGAAGAGCTGGACGAGCTCAGAGATCCGTGTCGATAGGTCGCTTGGCGAGCCGTGGAGTGTGGCTTCGTCGAGTTTGGCGGTTCCAGAGCGCTGATCTGCACGGCGCGTGCATGGTCAGAATCGGTCGATCCAGAGCCAGCCATGCTGCCAACCGTTCGAAAGCTCGAAACTGCCAGAATCGTTGGAGAACCGTCCAGGTGTCTTGGTTCGACGAAGGTAAAATGTGCGAGAATCGCACGCTGGCAGTCCGTGTATCACGAGCGCCTAAAACTTTGGCGTCGACCGTGTTCTGTGCAGACGTGCGCCTTATGCCTATATTGTCAGCTCTAGGTCTAAGGCTTCCGAGCGTCTACGATGCGCGGATACGACAGTGCTGCGACGCTGTGACAGAGACGGTCAATGCGAGCGAGTACTCTGGTGCCGCCGAGCGTTGGACTGATGAAGGTCGCGAGTTAGGACCCGCCGACGCTGATCAATGCCGTTTGAGATTCTTGCCGTATGTTAGAATCGTAGAAGGGCGAAGTGCTGAACAGGGTCAAGCAGGTCGCGTGGGACTGCTCGAATTGCCGGCAAGAGAATGCCGCCTTGTGTGCAGAGATTCGGCAGCCGTGTCGCTTGTTTCGATGGACGAGCAGATCAAGATTGCGCAATGTCCTGCCTCCGCGTTGTGAACCTTGTGTCGAGACGAGGAACCTATCTGGCTTTTGGGGTGCCGTGCAAGATCGGAATGAGAGGACGTTGTCGGAAAGAAGGACAATAAAGTCAGTGGATGATTCCGAGCCACCAAAATTTCAAAGAGATGTCAGGCCCGGGGCGTGTGCAGCCAGGACTGAAGAACAGCTGGCGAGCAAACTCGGGAAGGGCTAACTCGAGGACGAAGAAGCTCAACGACGAGTAGCGACGCCGCGAGAGCCACCAAGAGATATCGACGGCTTCGCGAAGATGTCGATACGAATATGGGGTACAGACAGAAGGTGGCTGTTGGTGAGAGGTGTAGAGACAGCGCAAAGGATGGCGTCGAGATGCACGGGAAGAGAAGAAAGACGGGCGGGTGAGTGAAGGCGGACTGCGGCGCCGGTAGAGCGACTAGCTGCCGAGACATGCTCCTTTTAAGTAGCTTTCGGAATGGAGCCGCTCCGCTTCGCTTTGGACTCTGTGTGTGCTTTGACAGTAGTCGCAGCATCAGAGCCTTCGAACCAGACCATGCCTCTGCCTGAGTTGCTCCCTAGCTCCGCTTGTGCCTTGTGCTTCCACTGCGCGCCTTCCAGGTGATTCAAAGCCAAAGCGGAGTGAAAGGCAGTCCAGCCGCCACGCCAGTTCTTCTTGCCTTCGAGGGACCGGAGGCGGCAGAAAGCAAGTGCTTCGACGCATCGATTGACCCGACTCGACCGGACTGAGCCCTTCGAGAATGTTGCCGGCGCAGTGGCATAGGCGCACAGGGCAGCAACAGCAGGCAGCGTGCTTAGCCAAAGCCGTGATCGAGGAAAGGAAGCCAGGCAGCAAACGTCCATGTAAAAGAGTGCCACGCCACTTTGTCCTCCATCTAGCGACCGCAGCCAATCGTGGTCGCTCTTCTCTCTAATCACATCCGGCTGCAGGAACAAATATGACCAGCGCCCTTGGCCAATTTGGCTCGGGCTCGGCGTGTGTTGCGCGTGTGATCTTATCTAGAAAGGCGGATGCGAGGATGAGTGATGTGGATGAGAACGGGAAAGGCCTCACGATCCGCAGGAGGACCTGGACCACCGCCGCCGCCGCCGCCGCCGCCGCCGAACAGCCACCTCTCGCGAGGCGCGCTGAGAGGCCAAGCTCCGGAAATCTGGCTAAGAAAAAGATCGCAATACAGACAGGCGCAACAGAAGAATCGTTTTCCCCTGTGCTTAATCTGCTGCTGCCACTGGTGCCATTTCAATCTGGGCATGATCAAAGCACGCACGTCGGAACAGGCGCGTGATGCCTTACCAAAAGGATGTAGTGCAAAGTCGCCCCACGCCTGATACCAGGTCGCTGCTTGACAACCGTTGATGAGGGACTCGAAGCACTTGATCCAAGTCAGATTTTGGAGGAAGCCCATCGGGTGCAACAACAGGATGTTCGGGAACGACAGCGATTACGATGCCAATCGCGACGACAGTACCGTGACAATGCTGGTGGAACGAGGTTCTTCTGCTTTCTTCTGTCTGTGACAGGCCACCGCGAAAGGGCCATCTGCGAAGCAGCAACTGGGTCACAGTCAATTGTGTGACTATGTCTCTGGTCCCAATGACCTGGGTCTGAGCGACCCAGTGAGTCATGTTGCGCAAAATGCGAGAGACTCGGCTGCCCTGGTCCCGACATTGGCTTTGGCTTTTAGCACCGCAGCAGCGAGCTTCGGATTAGCCGTCCGACCAAGGCTGGCCACGCTGAGCTTTCTCTGAGAAGGACTGGAAGATAGACGAGGCGGGCAAAATCGACCCAGTGCACGACCGTCACGTATTCGTCCCACGCGCGCAGTGAATGCTGCAGGCGGTTGCGGTAATGCCTGTGCCTGAGCCGAGCCGGCGAGCGGGCTAAGCTCAGCCAAGAGGGGACAATTCTGCCAGAGATGGACGCCGCCCACCTGACACAAAGGTCGAGATGACGGCCCGTTTCGGTGAATCCCAACTGACAATGGCGGCATGCACGGATTCGATAGGCAAACCGATTCGATTTCCCGATGCAATGGCGGTCCCAGCCAGGATGGATGAACCCAAGCCCCTCCCGAAGCTGCTCGCTGCCTTGCCTTCTTTCGATCCGTCATCATCCGGAGCTCTAGCCTGAACTTCTAACGATATGGCCGCACCACTTCTCGAGACTTCGTCACTAATCGAACTCACCTTCTTTGGATCAATCCTTTAAGCCTCGAGGCGGCTCTTCGATCGGTCGGAATCTTGTGTGCTTGCAGGACGGATCGGCCTGAACCGAAACGACGAGCGTCTGACAACAAACCCTTCGTTGCTGGGTAACTTTGTTTTTGCCAGCTTGGACACCGCCGTTGCTGTCCTGTCGAGGCAGGTATGGTTGTTCTTGAAGCTAGTCGTCTCTATGTCCACTGACGGTGCCAGACCTTCTATCCTTTGTGTGTACAGTGTGCCTGCGCTCTCGAAACCGTGACTATAGATCTCGAGGAAACAGCCAGGCCAACGTCGCTCTATGTATGCGAGGTATGTCGAAGGGAAGGAATGCGAGGGGTGTGATCGTTGACAAACGGAAGTGAAACGATGCTTCGATCCGGCGAATCGATGACGGGTTTGCGCTCCTAGAGGTCGAGGATGGACAGCTGCACGTCGACAATGATGTGCGGATTCATCCAGCACAGCAAAGCTGCTTTATGGTGGCTGCTGGACCCTCAGGATCTGCTTGGCCGATTGTCGAAGGGGTTATCCTGGCATGTGGTGCGCACTGCGCGTCAGAACTGATTGGAGTGGTCGCTTCGCCAGCAGGACGGCAGCTCCGGCTTACCACACCAACGACAAAGACGCTCCGCGTATGCAAGTCTGGCGAGAAAGTGCTTGTATGCTTCCGGGGACAACGATTTGTCTGCTGCCGTTCTCGAAGCTCCCGAAGACGACGTTGACGTCGGTGTCGAGTTGAAGCCAAGAGAACGCAATCTTGGTTTTGCCTCGTAAGCTGAACGACGGTAAGGGTGAGGTCGGACAAACAGGGAGTTACAGCTGAAGGAAGGGCGGAGGGAAAGGGGATGAGTTGGAGGATGGCAGTTGCGATGCAACCATCAGTCAGACTGAGGGCCGATATGAAGTCGAGGTCCCTGCGAGCCAACTCTAGTCTGCGCGGCGCAGGCGGGTAGCATGCACTCACATGCAGCCTTGGTTTCAGTTTTTTGACTCTGCTCACGCGCCACGACCCGGTCGCTCGTCTTGACAGGTCGCATGTGCAGCTGTCTATCCCAGCCCCGGATTCGAGGGTCCTCCATCAAAGCGAACGGAAGACCGGAAAGGAAAAGAGAAAAATCTGGGGTTGTACCGTTCCAGTGCATTCCCTAGGCTTGCACTCCTCCCACGATAATTTTAGGTCTGGCTCAGACAGACAAAATCAGCTGCATGCCACCCACTCGCGCCTGCAACTTAGCCGCCTTCCTTCGCTGCTGCCGCTCCCAAGTAACGGATGGGGTGGGGTGCGCTTTTGGCACCGAACCAGGCCGCGCGCGCAATCATCGACATTCATCTGGCCTTGACTAGACACCTCGAGCATACAAACAGACTCGCACACACCAATTCGTCGACCCGGAAGGTGGCCAATGACTGTTGCTCGACTCCTCTGGTAAACGTCGGGACTTGAATGGTTGTGGTACCGGAGCGCCGCGCGGCGTGGCCTAGAACCCAGCTTGCTCACATCGTTAAAACGCTTGTTTGGAGCACGGCACTTGAACCGTGTCGAGCTAAAAATCCCGACTTCGATTTTGTCGCAGCCGACCTTTGTTGATCTCGCCTGCACACGGCTCATTTCACGGGCTTCTCTTTGCGTGGCTGCAAGGTTCTCTGGTGGCAGCGCACGCGACTCGACCTGGTTAGTGTTTCCCCACCCTTGCTACCGACGACCGAGCTTTGCGACTGTTCCGAAACTCTGCTCACTAATCTTGTCTCTCGCAGGCAAGTCCAATACACAGAAAGCACCGGTCATTCCTGTCTTTGGAACCTCGACGATACTTTGGACGAATGGAGCCCGTGCAGGTCACGCGGACGGCCAGGTAGGAAAGGGATCGAAGGGATGGAGGCAAGTCCCGTGTGGGCAAACCCTGCGCGTGGGTCAGGCGCTCGCATACCGAATCTTGCGCGGCTCGTCTCTGCAAAAATCCTCCTCGTGCCCCTTAACGGTGCTGAGGATTGATTGGCTATCTCTGCTCTGTGCGCCACTCCTTTGGAAGCGTCGTGCCGAACGCAGCACGCAATCGCGTCTAAGTCGTTTTGTCTTATCCGACCGACGCCACACGATCCTCATGTTGTCTTTCGGAGTCCATTGTTCTGACCGTGTTGGAGGCCAAGACCTCTGCCGAATCCGAAAAACTCGACGTGGGCTTCGATCGGCAGGGAAGAAGGTGGCTTATTGTAGCCTCGACTTCGTTGCTGTTGGTCCTCCCCTGCAGATGCAAAGGTGCATGAAAGGAACGCTCGGGCGTATACTGCATGTATGCTGGTTGCGACCCAACCACGTTGCTCTACTTCATTTCCTCGGCCCGGGCATCACAACAATTGTGGCAGGAATTGACAATCTCTATGTATTTACATTGATACATCATCTTGCAGTGTGATGAGCGAGCTAGGTCAGTGTTGCAACTCGACCCGTTTGCCCCGCGACCACTCCCTCGCGGCCTTTTCGATATTGGTCCAGTACCTCAACTGAACACTTGCCTGCTTGGCTGTCTCCAGATCCGGCGGATTCTCACCGAACGCTTTCTCTAGAGTCTCGACCGTCGCATCCAACAACCTTGCATTATCCTTCCTGACCTCTGCTGCCTCTTCCTCACTCTCTGCTTCCTCCAACCTCTCTCTCAACTCCATCACCTCCATAAGCAGTTCCGGGTCTTCGAGAGAGTCCGACTCCGAAATTTCTTTGACGCCGTGACGTTCCAACAGGTAGAAGGCACGTGGGAGAGGATTCAGTAGGGTCTCGTAGGCTCGATTGATCAAGGCGCTTTGTTGAGCTCCGATCGATTGTTCCTTTTCGCTTCGTCCGACCATGCGATCGGGATGCGTGACGGCCATCTTGAGTCGCCAAGCTCGTTTGAGGGAGGGGGTGTCGATAGCCCAGCCTCCAGAGGGGACGGAGGAGAAGTCGAGATCCATGGCTTTGTAAAAGTCGATGTCGGAGGGGAGGGGTTGGAGGGTTTTGCAGTTGGGACAGGAGAGCGATTCGAGCGGTTGGGTTTGGCTGCAGTTGGGGCAGGATTTGAGCGGGGCTGTTGACGTGGATGTGCTGTAGGACTTGATCGGGGGTGACGGTGTCGGAAGCGAGTGTACTCTGACTAGCGACTGAGTCCATACCTGAGATGATGCAGGTCTTCCACCCGTGCTGGTAGATGAAACCCGTGAAGCCAACGCAACAGACCGTACCATGCCAGCCTGCCTCTGAGCGCTACGAGAAACCCCTGAAGCCCCTGTCCCCAACACCCGAGCATTGAAGCCAATCTTCATCATATCGAGCTCAGAGAAACAGCTTGTAAAGCAGCCAAAGGCCCACAAACGCACCGACCACGTACAGAGTCAACCGATGCTGTCGTGCGCCGTTGACGATGGTCCGGGAAAAGTGATTCGAAGTACGTTGCAGTTGAGCGCCAAACTGATCGAACTGATCCGAGGTCTGCGAAAGCAGTCCAGCACGTTGGTTCTCCGAGTCGTTGTGGATGTCGATGGTCACCGAACGCAGCGAAGAGACTTTCGAGTAGAGGGCGTCGAGAGCCGAGTCGTTCTGCTGCTCGTAGGTGCGATCCGCCGAGGTTGACATCTGCCGATAAAAGCTGATGCGTATGGGGAGGCGAGTACGATGAGTTTCGTGAGTTTGGAGAGGCGTCAACTCGTGTCGATGACGAAGGGTGGAATGGATGTCGAGTGCTAGAGAGCAAAAGATGGAAGAAGGGTGAATAGGCAACGTTCGCGGACTGAGCGAGGGTGTGGAGGTTTCGAGGTCGATGTTACTTTAGATCTGATTGAGATCGGTGTCTTTTCGCGGACCGATTCCCGATCTTTTTCAGATGCAGCGCTTTCCTGACATTTTGGAAGAATCCCTGACTTTGCCGACTTTGGATTCTCAGCACAGAGACCATCATTTCCATCATCATCACCATCGGCTGTCCGCACTGGCATTCTCCACCACAGCATTCAGCTCTCCGTCAGTGCACACCGTATCATGCTGTCATCACTCACCGCCGCATTCGGCAGGCTCGGCGTTGGTGCCGCCTCTGCAGCTGGACCTTCCTCCATCTCCTCAGCCGCTCGTCTCCCTACGCATCGATCGCTTCACATGGCCTCTTCCTCTCGTCCCGCTCTCACTTCAACACCCTTCTCGCCGAATCAGCTCGGCGCTGTGCGCCACAAAGGAAACCTCGCGCCTCGCCGTACAAAGTATCGCAAAGCACACAAGATCACCATTCCCTTCAACACCGGTGGCTCGACCAAAGGTACCACCGTGCAAGAGGGAGCCTACGGCATTCGTCTTCTGGCACCGGCACGTCTGTCGGCGAAACAGCTCGTCGCGGCGGAGACGGCGCTCAAGAGGAAGTTGAAGGTCGTCAAAGGAGCACAGGTGTTTTTGAGAGTGTTTCCGGATATCCCTGTCTGCATCAAGGGTAACGAAACTCGTATGGGTAAAGGTAAAGGTACTTTTGAATACTGGGCTTGCAGGTAAGTTTCATCTTTCTCTTCCGCGCGTGTGTTTCTGTACAGATGGAAACGGTTGTCGCTGACGCTCTTGTTCTTTGATGATGCAGGGCGAACATGGGTAAAGTCATCTTCGAGATCGGTGGTCCCGTCGAGATCCGACCCGAAGTCGCCAAGGAAGCGCTTCGATTGGCATCGGCAAAATTGCCCGTCCCAACTGAGTTTGTCACCACGGCTTCCAAGCCGAGGATCGGGAACAAGATCGTCGAGTCAGTCGACGATGCCAGCTCTGCTGTCGCTGGCGCACCTGGTAGCACTGCCGAGGCCGTTGCAACGGCTACCACTGTCGCTTCTGCATAGATGTGGATGACAGCACATGTACTATAGACCCTCATTGGAAGCACGTTCCTCAGCATCAAATTTGCGAACCTCACCATCGCCGGTCGCTCAGTTTGTAAAGATATTCGCTGTATGCAGCTGGGCTTGATGAGCGAATCAGGGTATGGTTGCATCACAGCTCGATATGTTCGACAGGAAGCTTGTTCGCTCGAGTCGTCGCTGGCTCTTGTGGCAGCACTGTCTCCACCAAGTGCTCGAGATCGTCTTGCAGATCTACCACATTCTCCACCACCTCGTGTTTCGCTGCGCCCATGTGTGCAGCTGCGCTTGCCGTCGCTGCCGAAGCGACCGAAGTGATGACCGTACTCGCCGCTTTCACCACCTTCGCAACGGTCCTACTGCTAACCGCTTCTTCCGCTGCCTCCTTCAACAACCCCACTTTCTCCTTTACATCCTCGCCACCTCTGCTCGCTAACCCACCAACCAGCTTGTTCAGCCCGAGGAGTCGGAAAAAGAATCCCAGCAGACCGATCCCCTTGCTGATCAACCTTACGTAGACGATGTACCCAACACAGCTCAAGAAGAACAGAAAAGCTGCCGCTACCATCCCTTTCCCAATCAGATCTTCTCTCTCCATGGTCTTGATCATTCTCGCCGAATTTGTCATCAACGTCGTCAACGAGCCGTATTGGAACGACAGACTCGAGATGGTCTGTGATGACTCTTCCAGCAGCTGCGAAGACATTGCCGACTTCTCCAGTTCCGAGGACATGAGAGACACGGTACGACGAAGTGCATCGGTGACATCCTGAGAGGCGGTCATCATCTTGTCTTCTCCCGACGAGCCTGCTCGACCGCCCGTTCGTTCTTTTGCACTGTCGGCAGCGAGCTGTAGACCGGCACGGGCTTCTGCTGTGCGTGCAGTCTCGATGGAACGTCGAGCTGACAGCAGAGCTTTGCGTGTCGATTGTCTGATCCCCTCCAGCTGTTGACTTGCAGATGCAGCAAGGTGTGAGATCTCGCGACGTTCGGCGTCGGACTCAGCTTCGTCTACGGCGAACTTGAGATCGTTTACTTGACGCTTCAGGCCGTCGATGGAGGAGATGATTTCGGATTCATAGTCGGTGAGTAGGGAGGCGCTGGTGCATGTTTGCAGACGCGGGATCTGATGGTTGATGACATCTTGACTGTAGCGTTGGAAGGATGCGTGTACAGAGAGAAGGTCTTGGGGCACCAATGAGCGCGAGCTCGATGCTGTAGCGGAAGCAGTAGTCATGCTTGGCGTACCGCTGAGACCGGTGGTAGAGGAATCCGATGAAGGGAGCAAGAGAGGAAGAACGAGGATTGCATGCGAGATGAAATGTGGTCCGTTCGGCAGTGGAGCCAAATTTCGCAGTCCGCAGTCCGAACACTTTTCGGACCTCGGAAGGTGACAGCACAACACATTTCATTTGCAGCATCGTGCAGCGACAATCACGGTTCCTCCCTCGACCTCATCACTTCCACGTCCCTCTCTCTGTCCGCTCATTCCGACTGTCACGCTGGTCACCTCGCTAGCATCAACAGCTCTTACAAGCTCTCAGCTGTCGCCGACACCCCGACAACTGGCGAGTATCTTAGCTGACACGCTTCTCGGCGTTGCCGAAGACTCGCTTTGTCTCGTTCACCCGAAGCACTTCCTACAAGGTTACGGTTCATCCTCACACTTAACTCGGCGGGAATACTCTCTGCGCAAATGGATTTGAGAAGACGAAATTGCCCACAACAATCTCCCACGCCTTGAACCGGCTGTCGGATCCACGCCGGCACAATACGTTCACGCTCATCACAGCGTTGCACAGAATGTCGACCAACATCTTCCGCGACAGCTATGCAGGTGACGCTCCAGAACAGCACGATGAAGCTACCACCGGCTCAGGGTCGAAGACCAAGAAGCCGAGCTTCTTCAATCTGCCCGGAGGAGGAAAAGCTATCTTTGCCTTTGTACTCAGCCTTTTCGCATATACTCTGCAGACAGAGTTTGCACAATACGTCCAGCAGTCTCTCAACTACCGCAAACCTTTTCTGTCCCTCTATTTAGGGCATAGCGGCTTCGTGCTGTTGTTTCCAATGCATCTCTACTTTCTCAAGTGGACCACAGGGCGACCCATCACACACTACCTCCATCTCATCGCACAGAACCTGCGGTGGCAGCTCGAGACACCGGCGTCAGCATTACCTGATCCACGCGCCGACGCAGTACGTCAACGCCTCAGCCAGGCTTCCGGAAGGGGAGACCGTCAAAGTGGCAGCGACTGGGATGTTCAGGCAACCGAAAGCCTCAGACGTCGGCCGGCGTCGTCACTCGAGCAAACGTTTGGCTTCAACGTCGTTCGTCTTGCTGGCCTCTTCCTGGTCTTGACCGTCGGAATCACAGTGCCAGCGCTCAGCTGGTATTGTGCGGTACCTATGACGTCGATGGCAGACATCACTGCCATCTACAACACCTTTTCGGTGTGGGCGCTCGTCTTTTCCGTCTGGTTCCTCGGCGAGAAGTGGGAGAAGCGTAAAGTCTTTTCGGTGCTGCTGGCGTGTCTGGGCGTCATCATTGTTGCGTACGGCGGCGCAGATCACCGCAAAGTGCGCAAGCCAATAGATCCAGTACACGGCAAGCCTCTTGCAGAGGACGATCCTGCAGAGCGAATCGTGCGACGCTTTGCACAGACGCTGCTTGATCGCTTGGCGTTCAGACGAGGGGCTTCGTCTGATCCACCCGTCAGCAGCGCGCACAATCCGGTGCTGGGCGACTTGCTGGCATTTGTCGGTGCAGTGACAATGGCAGCGTACGAGATGGCGTTCAAGCTCATCGGCACGCTTCCCGATGAGCAAAAGCAAGCCGAGATGTATTCTGCTGTTCCTGGAGGTCGCAATCGCCGGTCTCGCAGCTACGTCCGCTATCAGGACGAAGACGGCAACGAGCATCAGCAGAGACAAGAAACCGAAGGGCTCCTATTCGATTCGCAGCACGCATTGCGGGACGATGGGGTTGACGATGATCTCAGCACGCGCCACTCCAATGGCGACGGCGCTGGTCAGCATGTCATTGGCGATGATGACGAAGACGATGTGAAGAAGGGACGATCAAGTGGGGCCAGGAGATACTCGACCGTTGCAGACAAGTTGATCGACCAGGATCGTCAAGACTATCAGAGCATCACCCCGCCTCCGGAGCCGACGGAGCCGTTGGAACAGAGCAACGAAGGCAAAACGGTCAAAGCTGCTGCCGACAAAGTGCGTGTGCACGCCAAGGCTGTTCGCTTATCTGAAGGTCGGAGGAAGGAGACGGACGCGGATCAAGTAAGTGAAGTGACAGAAAGCGAGCTAGACGAGGACGAAGAGCGACTGGTTCTTTCTGGTGCGACTCGGCTCCAACGTACGCGCTCGAACCTCTCCGTCCATCACCACAGAGCATCTACGGACACTAGTACCCCAACATCGCGTCCAGGCCCGAGTCGAAGAAGCTCTTCTTATCGCACAGTGCATGATCCCTCTATCCCACCTCCGCTTCCTTTTGGCTTACACGCCAATATCATGACAGCAGGGATCGGTCTCACCACCCTGTCCACCTTCTGGATGGGAGTCATCATCGCAAATCAGCTCGGATGGGAGCCCTTTGAGCTTCCGCACAACCTGCGCACGTACGTGTCCATTGCCATGGTCGTGCTTTGCGGCATCTTTTTCAACGCTGCATTCATGATCCTGCTTTCTCTGTGGGGTCCTGTGCTGGCCTCGGTCAGCTGTCTGATGACGACCATTTTGGTAGAAATTGCTGATGTTCTGCTTGGCCACAAACTGAAGTGGATCAGCGTGCTCGGATGTACATTGATTGGTGCTGGGTTCGGTGTACTTGTAGGCGGAGATTCGATCCACTAGAAGCAAGCCACGGGATTAGCAACGGAACGTGACGTCTTACTTTCCAGCATCGCTAAACTTTCATGCAATCCTTCTTTTTCTACTCTCAGCATCTAGAAAATGTTCTTGTTTGATCCGAATGGTGCCAAAGGGATTCTTTCTATTGTGTGCAGCCAGGCTCGAGCGGCCATCTGCAGCGGGTGGCTGCGGAAGCATAGGACCCGGCGGTCTGTGCTCAACCGTCGGCGAACCGTGACTTGATTGTGAATGCATATCGGACTCGGATGGCTTTGGAATGCTTCTGGACCGTGACACGTTCAAGATCTGCTGGCATTTTACAGTAGGTCGCATCAAAGATCTGCGTGCATGCCGAAGCGAGACGGATCGACCCACTCTGACTTGCAGCAAAAAGGGGCCGCATCGCTTCACGTCGTATACTGTCCGTCACCTTGACCAATGCAGCGGGATTCGGAGCTCGTCATTTTGCCCGTGTCACTCGGCATATACAAACTCGCGGCTAATGACCTCTTCCTTCCTCCGAGTGAGGTGGAACGTTGTGACTCGTATGAAGCGTGAAGTGTGCCAGACACTCAAAGCGTTCCAGTGACAGAGGTGGTGGGCTTCATGCACACTCGTGGGAATTGGACAACGGCACATCCGAAAGGTTCATGAGCTTCGAAGCGAGAAAGAAATGTGTCTACGCTGGTCTGTGTCGAAGCTCGTCACTTTGCGCGTGACACCTCCTTTGTCTGCCGAAAGCCAATGCTCGTCTCCCTCAAAGGAACTCAGCGCTTGAAAAGCTTTGCTTTGAGTCGGCATCGGCTCCTTTCTGCCCACGAGAGTATATAAAATCCGTTCCCCTCCCTCTCACTCGTCATACGTTCCCCTTTCCGATCCTTCGCCATCTTCAGGAACTCCCCTCAGTCCTCGACGCCATCTTCCTGCCAGCCAGGGAAGTCTCTCTCTTTACCACCCCTAGTGAGCCAAGGCTCTTCTCCTTTAGTCAGTCCATCAACCCTCCTCCTACTCCCTCCGCATCGCCACCATGCAGATCAAGCTTCTTGCCGTCCTGTTGTCCATCGCGCTGGTCGCCGTAGCAGAGGCAAAGAAGCACCACCACGGTCAAGGCCACCACAAACAGCATCATGCCGAGCACAAATCGCATCTAGACTCGCGTGGCCATGACGACGCGCACCAGATCGGCGTTCCCTGGGGATGCGATCCGACGTGCATCAAAGGCCTCAAGTCCACCAGACGCACCGACGTCGTCTGGTACCAGCATTGGCAAGATACACGCGTTCCCGAGCTCGACCAGCTCGGGTTCGACTACGTCCCCTCCTTCTGGGGTCCTTCTAAATGGGACAGGTGGAACGCCGTCAAAGCCGAAATCTCCAAAGGACCCCTACCCACATATATGCTGGCAATGAACGAGCCGGACGTTCAAGGTCAAGCGGATCTCGGACCGAAGGCGGCGGCCAAGCTGTGGATGCAAGAGCTCAAGCCGTTTGCCGACAAGGGAGTTCAGGTCAGTTCGCCCCAGATGTGCTGGAACATGCAGTGGCTCGAGCAGTTCATGTCCGAATGCAAGAAGCTCGGATGCAACATGAGCTTTATCGCCCTGCACTGGTACGGGTCTTGGCGCGACTTTGACAAGTTTACCCATTGGATCTCGAGCGTGCACGATGCGTACAATCTGCCCATCTGGGTCACCGAGTACGGCGTCACTCAGGCGAGCGGTGGCTCGCAGGCGCAGATCAAGGACTTCCACGTCCGCGCCGTCGAGTGGATGCGTCAGACGGGCTACGTCAAGCGATCCGCCTGGCTCGGCGGCTTCCCCGTCAACCAGAAGCCCGATCCGTATCCGTCGAGCCTGAACAGCTACTTCAACGGCGACGGTAGCGCACGTGACCTTCTCTGGTGGGTCTCGCAGTCGGCAGGTGGCTCGTGGCTCAGCTTCCCCGGCATTCACAGGCGTGACACCGAATCATCGCCAGAGCAGCACAAGGATTACAAGGACGACGACGTCAAGAAGGCAGAGCATGAGCAATACGATGAGGATCACTGCGACTACAAGTGTCAGCTTCGCCAAGGCTCGATTGAGAAGCATCACCGCAAGAGGAAGGGTGTCGTCGAGGTCAACGATGGCAAGGTTTGCGTCGCTACTCCGTCGAAGCTCGGTAAGGAGGAGTGCAAGAAGCTATCTACGTGCCTCAAGCACGCCGGCTTGCTTTCGAACAACACTCATCACCTGGATACACAGATGAAGGACGATGTACGTCACGTTCACGTCGGAGCCCCGAAACAAGCCAATGTGAACGTCTCTTGACGAACTTATCCACTGCCTAATTTCACCGTCACCGTTTATAGCCCTGTCTCCGACCTGCCCCCTTGACCGTCATCGCCCATCCTCTTGCGCCACGCTCTCCAAACTGCTCCGTTTCGTCTTCGTTCCCGATCCATTTGTCACCAGTCGACGCTTGATGCGTCATTGCTGTTCATCGTTATACTCGTAAATGTGATTGTGCTTCTCTTCTATCCTATCGTAGCGTCCCATTTCAATGTCGACTCCTTGGACCGGTCAGATCGTTCGAGTAGAAGCAGATACACTGCCTGTCCAGCCACGTTCGCAACTCGTCTTTCCTCTTTCCCGAGTCCATCTCGAGACCGTTCTGGGTGGCTATGCTGACGAATTCGTCAAAGCTGATGGGTTCGTAGCGAAGAATCCTGGTCCAGAGGGTGGGATTGGATTGTATGGCGGAGGTCATTGTTTGTGCGACTGCTGGTGTTGGTTCTACTGCGACTTCTATCTGCGATGCTAGTGGTGTGTCGGAGGATGAGGAGACGGAGGAGGGAGAACGTGGTCGAGCGCGGGGTTGTTTCGAGGGTGATGCTGAGGTGGAGAGGGGTATGTCCGAGGAGGAGGTGGAGCCGTCGGTTGCGGAGGCTGCTTCTAGCTCGAGTTGCGCTGTCAAGTCTCCTGGCTGCTCAGAGTTGGCTGAGTCGTTCTCGGATGAGAGCTGAGACGTGTCAGAGTCGGAACTCGCGTCGAGAACGAATGGATCGCTCTTTCTGCCTTTGCCTTTCCCCTTCTTGGCCGCCGGATCTTCCGCCTGAGTAGCATTCGGCAGTACAAGCTTTCGTCGTCCCCTAGTGCATCCTTCTGCCTCAGCCTCAGTTGCTTGCTCGTCCAATGCTGGCGCTTCAAAGGCCACCTTGGACAGATTCAATGCTTCATAGACAGCCTTGAGCTGATCGATCAATGTCGACCGTTTGCGTGAAACTTTGAATCCGTATCGTTTGACTTCCGCTTGCAATGCAGGCGTGGTCCATTCGTAAAAGTCTGGAATTGCGCTTCCGTTTGCTTCCTGAGCATTGGTGTGAAGCGGGTTTGTGGAGGATCCAGCCTCGGTGCTAAAGGTGTTGCTGCGGAAGCCATTGACAGAGGTGAGGGATGGTGAAGCGAGGTCGCCGCTGAGTCGAGTTGAGCGTCTGGACATCTTGAGGGGAGGATAGAGAAATCCGAGGCAGCGAGAGGACGGCGAAGAAGATGTTGGGACGCTGCAATGTAGCGTCCCAATGAAGGCCGAGCGGATCATTCGTTGCAGTGCTCGGTGCCGTTGGTGATGTTGGTAGTCATGCGGTGTTTCGGCTCTGACATCCTGAAATCAGGGACAGGTGATCGCTCCGAATATTGCTTCCGTCAGATCCGTCACGGCTGCATGCTAGACCGTGGGTTGCAAAATGTTGTTCCATGACCGGATGAGCAGGCGTGGAAGCGTCAAGGGATTGAGAAGGTAGTACGCGGTGTGGAGGAAGAGCATGACATATCTGTCCGACTTCCGTGCTTTGCAAGGGTCCAAGGGTCCACAATCCTCTCGCTGCTCCTCTTCTCATCCTTCTCGCATCTTTGTCCACACGAACCCTCCATCGGACCTTGCACACAAAAAGCAAGCAGCATTTTATCATGGCGAGCTCACATCTAGCTCCACCAACAGCGTCATCTTCATCGGCGAGACTAGGCTCTTCGCCCTCTTCATCATCAACTGCGATGCAACACTCGCTCACATCCGCATCCACCGCTTCTTCCTCTCACTCCCACTCTCATTCGCATCACCATCATCATCATCACCACCACCACTCAACGCCAATACCGACAGCATCAGTCGTCGAGCCACCAGCACTGTTCGCCTCGGTCGCACCACAAATCTACCGCTCCGCCACCCCCACCCCTGCCAATCACTCCTTCCTGCGGTCGCTGCAACTACGCACCATCCTCTCCCTCACCGCCGAGCTGCCCTCGCCCAGCCTCGTCGCCTTTTGTCAGCGGCACAACATCCAATTCCTCCACTTTGGTCTCCGAAGATGGGGCGCCGTCTCCCTGTCCTCCTCCTCCTCTTCATCCTCCCCACCCGCCTCCCCCACGCTCGACCTCTCCTTCCTCCACACCTCCACGCTAACCACCACCTCCTCCTCGCCCACCCTCACCGAAGATCTCGTAAAAGACAGCCTCCAGCTCCTCCTCACCTCCACCCACCACCCGATCCTCGTCACCGACACCTCGGGCATCCACGAAATAGGCGTCCTTCTCGGCTGCCTGCGCAAACTGCAACGCTGGAACTTTGCCACCATCCTCCTCGAGTATAGACAATTTGCGGGGAACAGAGCGAGAGCAACAAACGAACGGTTCGTGGAGATGTTCGATACGGATCTCATCACGGTGGATAGGGAGGCGGCGCCGGTTTGGTTTAGAGAGGCGATGGAGAGAGACGATGCCGAGTTGGAGGAGGTGTAGATCGCAAGTTATACCCGAGGTTGAAATGCTCATTCACAATGCTGTTCGGTCAAGAGTGATTGTCATGGTATCAGTATGTGTGTCAGAAGGGCAAACTCAGCGGAAGATTCGCAAACGGCAACCCCGCCCCCTTCCCATTCCCACTCGCCCTCCCCTTGGACCCCCTCCCCCTCAACCCCTGCCCGTCTCCCCCCGC